AACACCTGAGTCAGGTGCTGTCCCTGCTGTGCTGAGCTCTCCTGTGGCTCCACCTCACTCAGGGTCAGGGCAGGGTCCTCACTGCAGCCAACAAGCCCCATACGGTCTGTGCTCGTCACCTCCTTGCCCTCTTCTCTCCCTCACTCACTCTGCCCCAGCAACACCAGTCTCCATACCTCAGGGCCTTTGCACAGGCTATTTCCTCTACCAGGATCCAGAGGATTTCTTTGCTCACCTCCATACTTCCCTTCAAATTTTTGCTCAAAGTGTCAGCTTCTCCCTGAGACTTTCCCTGGTCACCTTATTTACAATTTCAGGGCCTCACGATCATCCCCTACTCCTCCTTCCCTCTTTCCTTACTATATTCTTCTCTAAAGTTCCTATTACCTTCTTACATACTTCCCCCCACAGAAGTATCTAAATTACCTAAGTAAATCTTCCTTATTGTCTGTCCCCCAACCACATTGTAATCACCACGAGGGAAGAACTGTTGTTGCTTCTGCATATGGCGCACTACAGTGTCCACACCAGTGCCTGACACATAGTAAGTGTTCAATAAAGAGATGCTAAGTGAACAAACTCGAATGCATCATCACGACAGAAACTTGCTGCACAGATGAAGAAACTGAGGCATGGGAAGGTGAAACACCTTTACTTAACAAGAACTCAGGGATTAGTTCAAGACCTAGTGAGAAAATTGTTTCATTTCCCCATCCAGCAGCAACAGCCTAAGTAGGGGAAGTTTTCATGCCTGGAGCCAGCCAGCCTGGGTTCAGGTCCCCGCTGTGTCTCTTGCTAGTCATATGACCAAGGGCAAGTCATTTGATCTCTATCTGCCTCAGTTTCCTCTTCTGAAAATGAAGATGTTAACCATACCTACTTCACAGGGAGATGAAACAAGTTAATATTCGTAAAGCACTTAAGAAAAACCACTGGTGTCTCATAAATAAAAGTGGTATTAATATAACATTAGACACTAAATCATGTTAGTTGCTATTATTATTATACATCATAAAAAGATCACGAGCAACCATTTAGCTATGATATTTTATCTGGTGACATTTATTGAGTCCTTACTAAACCGCTGTGCTGAGCATTTAAGCTGATCATTGCACTGATTCCCATCAACATGTTTTAATGGAGCAAACATCCTCCAAGGCTGCCCTGGGTTAAGAGGCTTCAATGATCTAATGCTTGCTATGCTATCTAATGCCAGTAAGTGCTCGGTTCATGCCAGCTGTTACTATTTTTAAACAAATTGATTAAGGTCTTGCTAAGAATTAAGCACGAATCAGGCAAGTGATCTATGGATATGATAAAAAGCTTGACTCCCCGTTGACCCTACTACAGAGGACTGAAGTTGTAGAGACAGGCTTTAGAGACCAGGTGTGCTTTGCCCCAGGAGGTTGTTAGTTGCATTAATAATTAGCTGTGATTTACAAGCAAGCTCGCCAGCTTGCCAGGCAGGGATGTGACACTCACCAGAGCGTAGTCCCCTGGGTTGGCTCTCCTTGGGAATGTGGGGGTCACTGGTGAACAGGAGATCTCCAGAGCTGGGGGTTGGTCCCCTCACACAATGAGGGCAGCCAGACTTCACTGAGGAGCAAGGAACTTCAAGTGATGTACCGATGAGCCCTGGGTATACAAAGCACTTATTTGCAATGCTCTGCCGAGGGCCATGTCCGCATGGCTGAATGCCAACTACTGGCTGGGTCAGACTGGGACACAGACGGCATGGCACTGCCTGCTGCCAGGGTGTGTGTGTTTAGTGGGGAGGCTATTGTATTTACTGGTTGTCACAATGACTGGGAGATGCTACTGGTATTCAATTCCAGGGACCCATGATGCATGGCAGACTGTATCTTCCCAAAATGGCTAGAACAACATATCCAACTGACATGCTCTTCTGGGACTTGACCGTTCTCCATTAAGTGGAGACCATACCT